CTCATCCCGCCCCCTTGACCTGTCCGTCCTCCCTGGACTGACCTATCCCCTCCCTAACTCCCCACCTACACTCACCTTTACTGGCTCCATCCCCGCCTCTTCGACCTGTTTGTTTCCTCTCCACCTATCCTCTCCTCTATCCATCTTCTATCCGCCTCCCACTCTCTCCCTATTTATTTCAGAACCCCCTTCCCCTCCCCCTTTTCTGATGAAGGGTCTAGGCCCGAAACGTCAGCCTTTCTGCTCCTATGATGCTGCTTGGCCTGCTGTGTTCATCCAGCCCTGCACCTTGTTGTCTCGGATTCACCAGCATCTGCAATTCCTACTATCTCTGATTCATTAGTAACTGGCTGTAAGGTAAGAGATTGTGTTGGGAGCTAACTGTGGTAGGACATGATGAATGTTACTCACCAGGAATTATTACTGGCCCTCTGTTTCTGTGTTGGGTTTAGATGAAGGAATAGCGGTTTATATACAAGCACTTGTGAATAGGATGAGGCCATTCAGCCCCTTGAGACTGCCATACTGTTCATGATTGATCTCTCTCAACTTTGTTATCTTTTTATAGAATCCCTACAGTGTGGAAACAGGCCCTTCAGCCCAACAAGTCCACACCAAACCTCAGAGCATCCCACCCAGACCCATCACCCTGTAACCCATTTAATCTACACATCCCTGAACACTATGGGGCAATTCTCCACGGCCAATCCACCCCAACCTGCACATCTTTGGACTGTGGGAGGAAACTGGAGCACCGGGAGGAAACCCATGCAGACAGTCGCCTGAGGCTAGAATCAAACCCGGGTCCCTAGCGCTGTGAGGCAGCAATGCTAACCACTGAGCCACCGTGCTGCCCTCGCCCTCCCACCATAACAGACACTAAATACAGAGGCAGCATAAACTGTGTAGCTGGAAATAGTGAGTTACAAAGGGACAGATGAAGTGAGGGATGAAGCTATGGCAGCTGGAGATAAACTTGGCGAAGTTAGAGGTGTTTTCACTTTGCATTGTTAAGGATAGACACCTCGATGAGAAACTCAGAGTTATGGAAGAGATGTAAGTGTCAGTGTCTGTGACAAGCTAAGTGTACAGGTCCAGAGACCTGAGAGAGAATGTGGAGAGAATGGGAGAAATGGGAAAGGCAGCAAAATAGTGTGAACAGTGACAGCCTTACATATTGGATGGATCTTTCCTGATGCAGAAAAGCTCTCTAATTCTAACTTTCAAATTCTCAGGGAGGAACAGGGGAAGATTACCTCCAGGGTGTGCCTGGCACATTTTTAAACCTCCAAACAGATTAAAGGGGAAATAAAGGCCAAATACTGTGCATGCTGGAAATCTGTAATAAAAACTGAAATTGTTGGAGAAACTCAGCAGGTCTGTCAACTTGTGCGGAGAGAGAAACCGAGTTAATGCTTTCAGTCAGTGACCCTTCTTCAGAATGGAAAGGAGCTGAAAACTGGTGGCTTTGTTGCTGCTGACAGAGGGGGGAGGAGGAGTGAGTGGAACAGATGATGAGGCAGCCCAAAGCAAAAAACAAAAGAGATGTAAAGAACTTAAGAACTAGGAGCAGGAGTAGGCCATCCGGCCCCTCGAGCCTGTCCCGCCATTTAATAAGATCATGGCTGATCTTTTTGAGACTCAGCTCCACTTACCCACCCACCCACCATAACCCTTAATTCCTTTACTGTTCAAAAATTTATCTAGCCTTGCCTTAAAAACATTCAGCGAGGTAGCTTCAACCACTTCACTGGGCAGGGAATTCCACAGATTCACAACCCTTTGGGTGAAGAAGTTCCTCCTGACCTCAGTCCTACATCTGCTTCCCTTTAGTTTGAGGCGATGCCCTCTAGTCCTAGTTTCACCTGCTAGTGGAAACAACCTCCCTGCCTCCACCTTATCTATTCCCTTCATAATCTATTACGTTTCTATAAGATCTCCCCTCATTCTTCTGAATTCCAATGAGTATAATCCCAGCCTACTCAGTCTCTCCTCATAATCCAACCCTCTCAACTCTGGAATCAATCGAGTGAATCTCCTCTGCACCCCCTCCAGTGCTAGTATATCTCTTCTCAAGTAAGGAGACCAAAACTGCACACAGTGCTCCAGGTGTGGCCTCACCAGGACCCTGTACAGCTGCAGCAAAAGCCTCCCTGTTTTTAAACTCGATCCCTCTAGCAATGACAGACAAAATTCCGTTTGCCTTTTTAATTACCTGCTGCACCGGCAATCCCACCTTCAGCGATTCATGCATCAGGACACCCAAGTCCCTCTGCACAGCAGCGTGCTGCAATTTTTTACCATTTAAAACATAGTCCATTTTCCTGTTATTCCTACCAAAATGGATGACCTCACACTTATCAACATTGTACTCCATCTGCCAGACCTTTGCCCACTCACTTAGACTATCTATATCCCTCTGCAGACTTTCAGTGTCTTCTGCACACTTTGCTCTACCACTCACCTTAGTGTCATCTGCAAATTTTGACACACCACACTCAGTCCCCAACTCCAAATCATCTATGTAAATTGTAAAATAGGTGCAAACGTTAGATTGGAAAGAAGAAAATGTGTTCGCTGTGCTGAGAGCAAAGCCAACTACACACAGCCGAGGAAGGTGGAAGATATAAATAGAGTGGAGTGCAGAGTTTATGCTCTGAAATACTTTACAGCCTCTAGGACTCAATATTGAGTTTTGCAACATCAAGAGGACCTCTGTCCTCTATTTCCCACACCCCAACCCTCCCTGGTCATTTGTGTAGTAATTGCTTTGCTGTTGGCAGAGAGAACACATTTATTCCTTTCCAATTTAACATTTGCACCTATTTTACATCTGTTTCACTCCTTTACCACTGCGTTTGTCTTTTGCTCTGGACACCCCTCACCATCTGTTCCAGTCGCTGCTTCTCTTTCTCTGTCAGTAGCTTCAAAACCACCACGTGCCAACTCCCTTCAGTTCTGAAGAAGGGTGACTGGACTTGAGATGTTAACTCAATTTCTCTCCGTACAGGTGCTGCCAGACTCGCTGAATTTTTACAGCAATTTCAGATTAAAGGGCAATTTGTTGATAGGTTATAAGGCCCTCACCAGCAGGCCAGATGCTGAAACAACAGAATGACGGTGGTGTTTTTCTCTGATTTTAGGTGCAGTCCACAGCATTGGATGAGATGTTCCAGCAGGGAGAGGACTGTATCCAGCGCTACCACAAGGCACTGCTGCTAATGGAGGGTCTCTCCCAGATAATCACGGAGCAGGAAGACGTGGACAACATCAGCAAGTGTAAGAGTCTTTAATTAAATCATTATATTCCAGAGAACAGGCTCAGAGAGCGGGCAAAGAGGTAGCAGGTAGAATACAACATGGGAAAGTGTGAGGTCATTCACTTTGGTAGGAAAAAGAGAGGCGTGGAATATTTTCAAAATGGGGGAAGGCTTCGGAAATCTGAAGCATAAAAGGACTTAAGGATCCTCATTCAGGATTCTCTTAAGGTTAACATGCAGGGTTCAGTTTGCAGTTAGGAAGGGAAATGCAATGTTAGTATTCATTTCAAGAGGACTAGAACACAGAAGCAGGGATATACTGCTGAGGCTGTATAAGGT